CATTATAGGATGAATCCTACCGAGCACGCTGAGCTCCAAAGGCAAGTGAATGACCTTCTCAACAAAGGATTCATTCGTGAGAGTTTGAGCCCATGTGCTGTCCCCGCCCTATTGACGCCCAAGAAGGATGGTTCTTGGAGAATGTGTGTGGATAGTCGCGCTATCAATAGGATCACGGTGAAGTATCGTTTTCCCATTCCCAGGCTTGATGATATGCTGGATATGATGGTTGGCGCGACAATCTTTTCGAAGATCGATCTAAAGAGTGGATACCATCAAATTATAATTCGCCCAGGGGATGAGTGGAAGACTGTGTTTAAAACGAAAGATGGTCTTTATGAATGGCTGGTCATGCCTTTTGTTTATGAATGGCTAGTCATGCCTTTTGGGCTAAGTAATGCGCCGAGTACCTTCATGCGGGTAATGACACAAACTTTTCGGCCGTTCATGAGTAAATTTCTCGTTGTCTACTTTGATGATATCCTCATCTATAGCAAAACTAAGGAGCAACACCGTGACCACCTCAAACAAGTTTGCTCTACCCTTCGCGAGACTAGCCTGTATGCTAATGTTAAGAAATGTTCCTTTTTCACCGATAGCGTAGTTTTTCTGGGGTTCATTGTCTCGTCGACAGGGGTGTCTGCTGACCCTACTAAGATTCAGGCGATAATTGACTGGCCTGAGCCTAAGGCCATTCATGATATCAGGAGCTTTCATGGCCTAGCTACGTTTTACCGCCGTTTTATTAAAGGGTTTAGCACTATTATGGCACCTATCACGGAGTGCATGAAGAAAGGGGAGTTTCATTGGACACGAGGGGCGGCGAAGGCCTTTAAGTTAGTCAAGGAGCGAATGACAGAAGCGCCTGTCAAGCGTCTTCCCGATTTTTCCAAAGTCTTTGAAGTTGAATGTGACGCTTCTGGGGTAGGTATAGGCGGAGTCTTAAGTCAGGATCGTCACCCTGTCGCCTATTTCAGTGAAAAGTTAAATGAGGCCAAACGACGATATTCAACGTATGATAAGGAACTGTATGCGGTGGTCCAAACTTTGCGCTATTGGCGCCACTACTTGTTGCCCCAAGAATTTGTCCTTTATTCGAACCATGAAGCCCTCCGTTACCTCAACTCTCAGAAGAGATTAAGTTCTAGGCATGGGCGTTGGGTTGAATATTTGCAGGCCTATCATTTGTGTTAAAACACAAGAAGGGCGTGGAGAACCAAGTAGCTGACGCGTTAAGTCGTCGTGTCTCCCTTTTGTCGATCATGAGTGTCAAAGTCATTGGTTTTGAAAGGCTTAAGCAGGATTATGAGGCATGCCCAGATTTTAAGGATATCTTTCTCGATTTGCAAGGAGGGCAATCGAACAGCATAGATGGCTTTCGACTTGAGAAGGGTTATCTCTTTCGAGCCAATAAATTGTGCATCCCTCGAACTTCAGTGAGAGATTTTATAGTGTGGGAAGTTCACGCGGGAGGGTTAGCCAGTCACTTTGGGCGTGATAAGACCATTGAGGAGGTTGAACGCCAATTCTATTGGCCTAGTTTAAAGAGAGATGTGGCTAAAATTGTTAGTACATGTAACACTTGTCAATTGGCCAAACAGAAGAAGCAGAACACAGGCCTATACACTCCTCTCCCCGTCCCCAATTGTCCTTGGCAAGACGTTCGTATGGATTTTGTGCTAGGCCTGCCACGCACCCCAAAGAAGCATGATTCTATTTTCGTGGTTGTCGATCGTTTCTCGAAAATGGCTCACTTTATCCCCTGTAGCAAAACATCGGATGCGTCCAAGGTTGCCATGTTATTCTTTAATGAGATTGTCAAACTGTATGGGCTTCCCAAGACCATCGTGTCCGATAGGGACGTTCGCTTCACTAGCCATTTTTGGAGGACTTTGTGGCATAAGATGGGTACCAAATTAAAATTTTCTACAGCCTACCACCCTCAAACTGACGGTCAGACCGAAGTTGTTAATCGGAGTCTTGGTAACTTATTACATTGCCTGGTCCGGGAGAACCTTCGAAATTAGAATTTAATCCTTCCTGTCGCTCAAATCGCGTATAATAGCTCCGTAAATCGTTCATTAGGTATGAGTCCATTTGAAGCCGTTCACGGATACAAGCCAAGGAAACCATTAGATCTCATCCCTATGTCCCCACAAGATAGAGTGTCAGTATCAGCCGAAGCATTTGCACAACACCTTCGTGATTTGCACATTGAGATCAATAAACAACTTGAAGCTAGTAATGCAAATTATAAACTACAAGCTGATTTACATAAACGACATATTGAGTTTAATGTTGGGGATTACGTTATGGTTCGCATTAGGCCAGAGCGGCGTCTACATGGACCCGCCTCCAAATTGCAAGCTCGTAGTGCTGGTCCTTTTAAAATTTTAAAGCAAGTTGGTCCAAATGCATATATTGTCGACATTCCATCCCACATTGGTTACCACCATACTTTCAATGTTGAAGACCTTGTAGCTTATAAAGGCCATTTCATTCCCTCAGATAATCCCCTGTCACCTCCTTTTGTGGACCTTGATCCTAATTCTTTGGCCCCCTCTAACCCACTACCACCTCTCACAGCACACACAGATAAAATTGATGTTATTTTAGATAAAGAAACTGTGTTCACTAATGATGGAGAGCTTCAGCGCTTCCTTGTTCGTTGGGTTAGTCGACCAGATTCTGATTGTGCATGGATCTCCAGGGAGACACTACAGCATTTGGATCCAGATTTGCTAGAGCTTTATCGGAGTCAGCAGGATCTTCCTTGGCCCAGATCGCCTCCCGTCCACCCGAGGGGAGTTGATGAGGACACCAGGTTCAGACCGCCACTGACGCATTTCTACAGACGCCGGAAGAAACTTGCCCAACCACTCAGCTTATGGTTGGGGGATTGACGAGAGTCTACGGTGATATATCCACTCAACAGGGTCGAGTTTTCTCCCACCCCGGGAGAGTTGATGAGGACATCATTATAGTTGGACTTTTATTATTATTTCAGTATTTTAGTTGGACTTTTATTATTGTTTCAGTTGGATTTTTATTTAAGTTTACGTATTTTAGTTAGGCCTTAAATAATGGGCTTGGCCCTATATTTCTAGGTTTTTATTATTTAAACCTATCTTGGTTTGTAATTTTTGGACGATGAATTGATTAAGAATTATTGGTTTGGCTGCTGCCATCTCTTCTCCCTTCTGCCCTATTTCTTCTTCTTCTTCCTTCTCCTATATCTCTTCTTGTTATCTTTATTGAATTAATCATTCTACATCAGTTTCGTTTCCCTCTCTATCCAAAAATTAAAAAAAAAATGTTATTAAAAATTCTCGTAACATTTTTTTATCCAATTTTTCATGTAATTGATCAATTTTGTAATAAAATTTTATATTAAAAAAGACTAATTTGTCATTAAATTTTAAATATATTACATGAAATATTATATAAATATATTTTTTTATATTTTAATTAATATGATTTATTTTTTTTCTTTTCAAAAATATTTTTTTTTATTACATGGGTGAACGGGATGGAGATCAATTCTCGACCTTTTATGTGGGAATCCAAGTGATTTCTACTTTAAATGAATGTTTTCAAAAGTCATCCGAATTCTACAAAAGTCTATAAAAGTTTTAAAATGAAAGTCTAGAAATTTCACTAATTTCATATAAATCTATAGAAGTACCCGAAATCCACGAAAAGTCATAACTTAAAAAAAGTTTATAAAAGCCTTCAAAAATCTCGATTGAATAGACCCCACTAAAACTCCTTTGTGTGTGAGGGTGAGATTCAACTAACCTGGCAAAGGTGTATGAAGAGAATGAAAAGTCAGAAAACAAGCGTCCAAATCTTCAAGAGTTGGTCCCATTGGTATCCTATAAATGGGATACCTACAAATAAATATTTTTTTCATAAGAAAAACAAACATTACACATAAATTAGTAAATTGAAATATAAATAAGGCAAAAACATGATACCATGCAACAGAAATCCAACTGGAAGGTAGTAGATCACAGCTTCTGAGCATTTTTAGTTCAGGGAAACGGAGAGCAAGATCACATATCTGTGACAATTTGAGCAGAGCAGCAGTAAGGATAAAAGAAGAGAAACCTTAATGCTTAAAAAAAGTAGAATATGAGATCATGAGTCAATGATCGGAACAAAAGCTGACCTTGTCTGCCAAAGGTTCCCGACTATAAGGTTGGTCCCGTTCAAGATACTCAAACAACAAGCGACTTTGTGAACTTCCGGAATCGCTTTCATCACTAGAAAAGCTTTCTTGATACGCCTGATCTCTCATGGACAATGGATCTACTCTACAAGCATTATTACTTGTTTGGTGATGATAGCTCCGTTGCTCAATTGAATGGTTGAAGCTACCTCTATCCTGTTCGCAATCGCTGCTTCCTTCACTACTTGAATCCCTAAAATAGTCACCATCACTTTCCTCTCCAAGTCTCCTGTTACATGAAGGGGAATAATCAGGACAATTAGAGAAAATCATTTAAATTTGCAGAAGGATCAATTGATTGCAAAATTAAAGAAAGAAAGAGGGCTATGCTTACTAATAAATTTGATAAGTGTCAAGTTGACATGGTCAAGTTGTGGCGTAAACTTATGCATTAAAACTACTAAACAATAGATTATTGGGAAAAAAATATATAGGCACCATACTCAAAAAGTCTATCATGTAATTAAGATGCGTGTAAATGCAATTTTTCTTTTCTGATAGCAGATATAGTATGCAACTGCAATAAAGGAAAAGGATCACACTTGTGTAGTGCATAGAGTTCAATTCATATAAGCGGAACCAAATGCTTTCACGCGCTATCGAAACGCAATGTGCGAACAATATATCAGAAGAGAAACCTACGCTTTTCACACAGGCAAGTGTCTTATCTATGCATGAAGTTATGCACAATATTTATCAAGAACTTCTATACGCATCATGCCTCCAATCACTATGATATTGATCAAAGATGACAACTTGAGCATCTCTGGGACTTCAAACAAAGCCAAGTAACACGATTTTTAACAAAACATAAGATATGAAGAGAGGAGAGAGAGAGTGGAAAAGATTCAGCCATAATTGAACATTGAGCAACTAGAAGAGAAAAGACATCTGTCGACCACAACAAGAAGAGGGGGAAAAAAACAAAAAAAATGAGTACATTTTTATTTTTTGAAAAGACATACTGTTTCTATTTCCCTTTTTTTATTTTTTGAAAATTTATTTCTATTTGCTTAACAAGTAAAAGATTATTGAAAAGCAATAAAATGAGAATAAAAAAACCTATAACAAGATAATCCTTATGAATGCAAAAGATTTGACATACACTATAATATAAATTTAGTAGTTCCACCTTATTAAGTATTTCCCCTTGATCAGCCTATGCTAAAACATGCATGCATTCTCAGAAATCATATACATTCCAAACTGGGAGCAATTTTCCTTCTATTTATCGAAGACTGAGAACCTCATTGGAAGGGGTTGGATGAGATAATGACTAACAGATATCATAGCACAACCAAGTGATGTTATAATCTAACCAAGTGACTCAAATTGATGACACATTGTAACTGTTTTATCAGCAATGAGTACATTGCCAATTTTCACCTCAGGCACTCCAGTTCATAAATTGTATTCATAATTAAATAAACTTCTCATCCACGTAATGAAAGTTTGAAATGAAACCTGGATCATACATTAAAACTAGTATTTCTACAACCAAATTTTTATGTAAATGGACCCGCACATGACCCATGCCTACACATAAAATGATCTATACCTGGCAATGTAATGGAAATTATTGTACCACATCAACATCATCATTAGCAATACAGAGGCTGACACATTTACACTCAGTGACTGATTTACACTTATGCTAAGTGATCTTGATTGAGCTACGAAATCAATGATGATCACATAACCCATCAAATCAAATCCTTAATAGCATATACATGGTCAAACATCAGAATAACTCTTGATCCATAAATCCAGTAGTAAGGGAACGAGCTAAAATTCTCCCATCTAAAGTAATCTGAGCAAAGCCAAAATACACTTCCTCAGTCCAGAACTCTTTCGATTGCCTTCTAGTCATTCTAGAAACAGATATTTAACCACTGTTATTGACAGTATCCTAAAAGATATTACAATGACACAAGCACAAGAACACATCACTAACAGGTTTTATGCACTTTTACTAGCAAATATTACATGTGTTCAAAGTTTTATCCGAACATCTAACATTCTTATAAAATGAAACACAAAAGCAAGCCAGCAGTTCTTTCTTCTTTCATTTCTACATTTTTGACAAATAGATGAGGTCTGGTTATACTCATAGTCTAAATTGAATCTAGGAGGAAAATAAGGTACCTTGAATTTTCCATACTCCTTGAAGGGTCAACATACAATTGTATACCCGATAAATAGGGAACATAATATTGGACCACAAGGTCACTGTCATTCATTATCAATGGCACTCCTGCACCATATACGCTCCATTCCTTGAATGACTCCCACAAATCGGCTAGCACAAAGTACGGTTGACAATTCTCATTGCTAGTTCTCCATTCCTTCAATGCTGTCTGTTAATATTTTCAAATAGATTGAATCAAACCCATGGTAATTAACCAAAAATAATGAAGTAACAATAAACTAATGATATTTTGAATTAGTCAGCAAATTAATACTAATTTTCTTCAGAGAACAAAGAGGTGGTTACCATACTTCAAGAAAAATTTACCATCTCCAAAGCATATTTCAGCCACAATCACTTACATGTTGCTATAGCAACATTAAAATTGCAATAACTTCTAATAACTAAACATAAGAATTGGTAATCATTAATAAACTAATGAAGTCATATTTTCAATATATCATTCATTAAAATTTTGATTCAGTAAACTACCCAAAACAATTGGCAAAGCAAGAAAAAATTGATGAATTCATATTTTCTCCATGACCTGGTCAATTCAACTAGACACTAGCCATCTATTTTCATTATTCAAATTTTAAAGTTTCATAATAAAATAAAGCATATGATCATCCATATAACTCTTGTACGAGTTTCAACCTTTCACATCCATTGGTAAAAAATTAAAATGAAAAATAACAGCCAGACATTTTAAAGTGATTTAACTACTGTATTAAAAGCTCCTAAATTTCGTATTTTCAATAGATATTACCACATTTCTCTTAATTATTGAAACATTGATAGACAACACAGAAAAACACTTCAACAAATAGTTAAAAAACTAAAACGTTCGGACTAAATAAATACTTTGGAATAAACACTATTTAAACATGGCCAGTGAATTAATTAACAAAACATGCTAAATCCATAGAATCTGCAAACTTTCAGATTAATTACCACTGACAATAAATTCAAATCTTTTTAACGTAAACCACTTCTAATTAAGGGAAAGTCCAAATAATTCATATATATCAATTAAACCTTTGATAATCGTTGAGCCGGCACCGAGGGTGTTATTGACTCCAGGAACCGTTCCAGATTACACGAGGACGCCGGTTCAAACATTGGCGAGGCAGCAACCCCCTTGGTTTTCTCCGGCGTCACATCGGCTTGACTCCTGTTTTGAGATCTCCGCAAATGATCTTGGCTCCGGCGAGCCCTGGCGGCGCTATAAAATTGATCCTCTCCATTTCTACTCCTGTTAAACTGCAATCCTGCCCCCAACATCCCTCTTCTCTTATAAAACCTAAAAATAACTAATAATCTAATCAATGGGTGTATATCTCTAAACCCTCTGTATAAATACCTTTCTTCTTATCTATCTCTAATGTGTATAAAATTATGAACGACTATCTAATCGAATAAATTGTGTAAATAAAAATGTATGTTATTGAGCAAGGAGGAATTGGATTTCAAAGATGAGAAACTGAATCAAGAATTGATGTCCACAAAACCAAGGATCGAAAGATTCTTAGTAAAAACCCTTCCAACGATGTTTCTGCAACAAATAATATCCCAAATTCTTCGCAGAGAAGCTGTTTTATATATGCGATTAAACGTGAAATGTATATATAGAGAGACTGGATGGAAAGAAGAAGATGCGAAGTGAGAACGGAAAATTGGACTATGATATGGATAAGGACAAAGGTGGGGTGCGTCGGTGTGCTTGTTTATTACGCGCTGTGAATGGGCGGGTATAAGAGATTAGTGGAAATGACGTCTCTGCCACTTCAGTTATATTTAAAATTATTCCGACAGTTTTATTAGGAGTCATTTATTACATGGAAAAAGTAGAGTTGGGGTCCTCAATCAATTGATACTATAGCATATAGGTCCAGATCTAAATTTTTGACAGCACCAAATCCTAACCTTTATTTTTGTAATGTTTGGGTAAACGGTCAAACTTTTCTTAAAATTACAAAATTTACATTATGTATGAAAAAATGATTGGGGAGAAAGGAGGAAATGATACAATGGGTTGGGGACCTTAATTATTATTTAACTAATTATGTTCTTGTTTGGGCTCCATTTTAATGTGGTTTTGAGAAAAATATATTTTTAAATAATAATTTTTTAAAGAATGTGTGGTTGAAAAAGAAAAAAATTGAATTTAAATGTAATATTATTTGAAAAATATATGATTGAAAAAAAAGAAAGAAAAATGTATTAAAATTAAAATGGAGCCCAAACAAGGACTATAAGGTCTTCTTGCTATATTTGTAGTAGGTCAAGGACTCCTATACATGAAAATAGTCTCCTAAATATTAGTACTTAACTTATGCTAAATATTGGATGACGTAACACATTAACTACTAGCAAATGTAATCGATTTGAAACTTCCATTATCTCCCATCACTTATTATAGTTTATCATGTCACTCGAAGTTTAACATAAATTAAGTACAAATGCTTAGGAGAATACATATACAATTATAATATTTAGAGTTATTCTCATATATTAAAAGAGTGACTTTGTGTTGGCACCATTTAGAGGTGGCAATGGGCCGAGCCGGATCCCACGAGCTCGGCTCACGCTCGGGACGAGCCGAGCTCGTGGCTTGTTTGGGCGAGCTCAGCTCGTAGGCTCGTTTTTTTTTTTTTTTTTTTTTTATATATATAAAGTGTGAAAGTGTTAAAAATAAAAATAAAGTGTTAAAAAATTATGATTTCTTGACCATATAAAAAGTGTTAAAAAATAAAAATAATTTTTTATTTTTTTTAGTTATATCATATGATTCATATTGTAATACTTTTTATAAAATATAAAATATTTATATAATGAAGACGAATTATTTTTTAAAATACATTTACAAAAAATATATTTTTTTGGTTTCTTTTTAAAGTTAATAAAATATAAACCCTCCTCCTTTATCTGGGCTTGGGACTGCCAAAACATTTTCTTTCAGTCGGCTCCTGACATCGGTCAAAATTCTTTTACCTGCACTAAAAGCAGACTCCGAAGCAACAGTGCTAACAGGAGATGTTAGCAGATCTTTTGCAATTGCAGAAACAATTGGCCAACGTCTTTTATACTTTCGCCAAAATTCAATTATTTCTTCTGAACTTTTTTTAATTGTTCTGTCTGTTGGCATATTATAATTGAAGTAATCAATTAATTCGACAGGCATCGCATTTTGAGTTTCGACTGATGTTTGATGAGATGCAAATATAGATGATATGGCACTAGATGAACACATTGCAGTTGCATCATATCTAATAAATTCATTATTTCCGCAGCATCTTCTTCAGTTTCAGCAGAAGGAGTAGGTGCAGCAGAGGGTACCCAACTAATATTCGCACCCATTCTTTCCGCATATAAATCATACATTCCACATAATGTTTGCTCTAAATTCTTATAAGTGATGGGTGTATCAAGTATCAAAACTTTATTGATTTGATCAATTACGTATTTAGTTCCTGAAATATTATATCGGGTTCCATTGCGCATGCTAAAGGAAATAACATAGGCAGTTCTTCCTAATATTTTCTAAACTTTAATTCCATAGCAATTAAAATTTCACTAAAAGTAGGATTATTTTTATATTTATGAAATGTTCTTGCAATTATATAAAGGCGTTCAAGCACCATACAGCTTGTGGGATAATAAACGTCGGATAAAATCTTTGTGGTCTTATAAAAAGATGTCAAAAATCGTTTAACTTTCAAAGCTAAAATCTAATCGGATTCATTTAACATACCATCGTCATCACTTCTAACATGTATATTATTATAAAAGTCAGTTATTAAATTTTCGAAACCTTCACATGATTTTAATAACAAGTATGTAGAGTTCCATCTATCACCTATGTCGCTAACAAATGTTTTAGTAGTTGTCACCCCTAATTCGGCACAAAAATCTTCAAATGCTTGTTTTCTACTAGGAGAAATCGTAATATATACTAATGCATTCCTAATCCTTTGAAATTCATCATTTATATGTTTTAAACCATCTTACACAATTAAATTCAAGATATGACACACACAACGAATATGAAACAACGAATATGAAACAAATACCCACCAAAATCAGGTTGAAGTGTCCTACACAATTTATCGACGACTACCTTATTAACGCTAGCATTATCAAAAGTAAAAGATCGAAATTTAGTCTCGTAATGATATTATCTAACAATACTGATAATAGCATTATATATATTATTAGCATTGTGAGGAAACTCAATAATTCTAAAAGCAATAATTTTTTTTATGCATGCATCAAAGTGGATCTATATAGTGTGCAGTTGCAGATATATATGCTCTTTTATTAACCCCTTCCCATATATCAGAAGTTAAAGATATAACACCCCCATATTGTTGCAAATCCATAATTAATTGTTGTTTTAAATTATTGAAATAATTTATTGTATCAGCACGAATAGTGTTTCGACTTACCCCGACGTACCTCGGTTGTAGATATTCTTTCACGAACGAGACAAAGTGTTGGTTGTCTCCAATAGCCAGAGGCAACTCAGTGGCGGCAACAAATTTCACCATTTCGGTTCGAGTATTATCCTCCGAATACATCCATGTGGATAGGGGTGAAGTTGTAGAACCAGCGTCTTGACTGCCAAATTGCAATCGTGTTTGACCAGTTGGAAGAAGTTCATGTCTGGCCGTACATGCTTTGTAGTGGTGGTTGAGATGGGTGGTACCAATTCCTTCTTGCCATGCAAATCTTTGTTGGCAGTATTTACATACTGCTTTAGATTCTGCAATGCCATCGACGACTTTTCCCGTTGAAACCAATTTAAAGTGATTACAACATTTTGCTTGTTTTTTGGCTTTTCGCTTTTCTCTCACATCTGGGATATTTAATTCAGCATCTTCATCTTCATGTTCCGCTTCGGGAACGTTAATATCATCCAAATCAATTGGATTGTGGCTTCCCTGACCGTGAATGTGAACATCTTCAGGTATCGATATGTCATTTAGACTGGCAAATTCATTTGGAAATTGACTTTGCGGCGTCGTAGGCGATTCTCCATGATGTGGCAGTGGCTCACATCCTGTATCGAACAATCTCTCAACAAATGAGCGTTGATCCATTTGTTTGATTGTTTATGATGAAATCTTAACTAGATGAATATAAATGTAATGAGATTGTGAGAATTGAGAATTGGATGAATTGAAATTGTAACTAATAAACTGTAAAAATTGAATTAATATTGTATATTTTGCAGCACAACTTTCAACTGCACAAGAGAGCAAAAAAAAACTCGATAATTAATATAATAAAAAAGAGTTGAGAGGGTTGTAAACTTGTAGTTGTAAGATATGGAAAAAAAATTTGCGGGAAGGGGGGGGAATAAATAAATAAAAAAAATTCAGTGACCGTTCTGGTCACTAGGATGAGCCTGGCCCGCTCTGCTCGTGCTCGGGCTCGTGATTTTACAAGCTCGAGCCGAGCCGACGAGCGGCTCGACCCGTTTGACATCCCTAGCACCATTCCTATTGATGTGTGCCAAGTTACTATTTTATGTCTTTCTCATTTTCTTTTAAGTTATTGTTTTGACTTTTTGGGGACCGAATACGATGTCAATCACCTCCCCCCCCCTTTTTTAACCACAATACAACATTGTTTAACTCATTTCATTAGAGGAAAAAAAAAACTAACGTTTTACTATAATTTCCCTTTTAAAACCATTCCAACATTAAATGCACTGTCTGAATCTTTATATATATGTGTGTGCGCGCGCGCGCTTCTTATGAAGAGAAGTGTTACAACGCAGAAATGAATTTCAATCCTTAGTGTATTTAGGTGATTATGTTTGATGTAAATTGATGTTTAACACAAATAATTTTTTTATATCTACTCTATTACATAGTCAACTATACTATAACACGTGCCTTGCACGTGCGTCTCACTGGTACTTAAAAAAAATCTTTATTTAAGTTACTTTCAAATTGCAACTCATTGCGAAATAAATTTTCGAGCATATGATAGTGTGTTTGAATAAGGAAAAAAATAAATAAGCTAGATCTTAATTATCATAGATAATGTGGTAGAAGCTCATATTTGAAAGAAAGAGTAAAACGGTTGATAACTATTTCTCACGGGCAAAATTTTTGTCAAATTTTCCATTGTCATTTTAACAATATAAATGGGGATGAGGAAAAACGAGAGGAATATAAATAAATTTGTGGGAAGATTCATAGTAGAGCAAATATGTATATTCATGCTGTATTAATTTACTTATTTAGCCTTTCATCAAATAAAAAACTAATTTTCTGTAAAATGGTTATTAAAAAATTTATTGTGTTGCGTGTCAAAATCAGAGTAAATTGATTGGCAATATTTGGCAAAGGTTCAATCAACATTCTTATCAAATAAAAAACTAATTTTCTGTAAAAAAGGTTCAATCAACATTCTTATCAAATAAATAATTTTCTCATCGGATAGCCACGTTTGATTGATAGGAATTAAAATTAAATTTTTAACAAATTTTAATATAAATTGATGAAATTTAGTAAATGATAAACTTTTTGTTACAAGAAACACTAGGCACTTATTTGGTATGGATTAAAATTTTAATTAAAATAAATAATTAATTTTAACAATATATTTCACATATCCCACAATTTTTGAATTATATATTTAGCTCCTGTTTAATTCTCATTTTCATAAGAATGAGAATAAAAAATATAGTCGTTATGAGATCCAAACAAGAGAGAAGAAGT